TGTTATTTAAAATAACATTGAAAGCCACTCAACTAAGTGGAAATAATATGACATACTGTAAAGAATACAGAGAATAATTTTGTTTACATATTTATGAAAATAAAATAACATAAATTATAAAATAACATAAAATACATAAAAGTAAATTTACTTTTCTGAGAATGTTTAGGCCAGCAGAGAAGGCCTTGCTGGCCCTGAGGGTCCGCCACTGTAGACACATCACAGTTAACCACAAAGACATTGTGTTAAGTTAACAAAAAACATTGCTGGTGGATGTTCATAAGGTAACATTAAACCAACGGCTATAATGCTCCAACAGAAACCTCAAACCAACAGTAAACTAATGCTGGCTAATTTACTAGCCTGTTGCATGTAGCGATAGTGGCCACTTGTTGATGTAATAGTCTGTGAAGCTGTATTTGTGCTCACTAAGATACGTTATACTGGTCGGGCAACTATGATTTCAGTTAGATTGCAATTATAGTTAAAGCAGATAAAAGTGTGAGCTAATCCAGGAGCTGCCAGTGAACTATAGTTAACAGTTATCACCTGGGCAGCTACACATGAATGCAAACTAAAAAATAAAATGAACTGAAACAATTCTTCTTGATAAAATACAATAATTATGCCACACATAATTCTAAACAACTATAAATTACATTTTCATACAGGAAATACTGTATGAGTTTGAACATGAAATTGTTCACTGTTATCTGCTGACAAAAAATGTGATAGGGTAAAATTATTGCCCTGACTAAAACTATACTAAAATGTTGAGTTTTTGATGAGTAAAACGAGATGAATAAAAGTGTTTTCTTGGACTGAACTGAGGACTAAAATGCTACATTTATAGTCAACTAAACCTGACAAAATAAAAATGGGAGGAGGTTGACTAAATGTGATCAAACTAAAAAGCACGATTAAAACTGGACTAAAGCTGAGACTAAATTTTAAAATGATTAATACAATTAAGAACAAAGCTTGTATCAGGGAGGTTGGTGCCCTGTACCCCTGAAGCAACACCCACAGAACTCCCTGAGGCACACGGTTGAATGCCTTCTCCAAGTTAACAAAACACATGTAGACTGGTTGGGCGAACTCCCATGAATCCTCGAGGACCCTGCCCACAGCTGAGACAAAAACCTGACTGCTACCTGAATCTGAAATTCCACCCCCTGACGGACCCTTGTCTCCAGCACCCTTGAATAGACCTACTTGGGAGGCTGAGGACTGTGATCCCTGAGTAATTGGAACACACCCTCAGATCCCTCAAGACGACCAACCCGTTCTGCCAATCCAGAACCTTTGTCCCTGATTTCCAGCCAATGTTGTCGAAGTGTGTCAACCAGGGCTGCCCCAAAACATTCAGTCTTTAGGAACTCAGAGTGGCGCTCATCCACCTCTGGGGCTTTGTCATAGAGGAACACTTAAACCACTTCGGGACTTCAACCCCATAGATAAGAGAGCCCAGCTTCCTATGTAGACGGTGGAATAGAGGAAGTCTTGAACGTATTCTCCCCACCATTTCACAATGTCCCGAGTTGAGATCAGCAGTGACCCATCTCCACTATACCTAGTGTTAATGGTGCAACTCCTTCCCCTTCCTGAGACACCGGATGGTGGACCAGAATTTCCTGGAAACCAAAGTCGTTTTCCATGGCCTCGCTAAACTCTTCTCACGCCTGTGTTTTTGCCTCATCCAAAGCTGCATTCCACTTGGTCAGCCGGTACCTGTCAGGTATGTCCGGACTCCTCTTGAATCGCGTGAGAAACAAAAGCTCACTGCAAGTATCAGCTGTGTGATTTGTGTTCAACCAAACTCTGAATGCAGCATATGGCGTGGCGCCCAGTGTGGTGATGAGACAGATGATGCCTCCCAAAGTCATTATGTTCAGATTCCACTACCTACCGGAACAGGATGATGTCTTCTGTACAGCGATCCACTCAGGGTTGCTGATTCTGCACGATGAGAGTGAGCATGTTCCCAGACTACACGGTGACTGTTGCGAAGAAGAGAGTGGCAATCACTGAAGCTAAACGGTCTACTCTGGAGCTGCCAGGATGTCAAGCTGGGATCCCCACGATGTGTCACATCACTGACACAACTGAAGATCCAGTGGAAGCTATGGAATACATTAGAAAGAACAGTCACCCGTCAATCATCCGGAGTCTGGAAGTCGTGAAGTAAGCAAACTAACATAGATGGTTTTATTTATTCATTCATTCATTTATTTATATTTTCACATAGACCAGTCAATTACGTGTATGCATATGGGTATTATATTAATTAAAATACAATTTATTTTGAAGCAGTTTGAGTTGTGTGGCCTCACCCTCTCCGTTCGCTCGCCTCTTCAGACACACACAATCTGTCTAAATCAAAGCAGCAGCAAGTTGACGTGACAATCAAGAGGGCACCCTTGCGGTAGTCTTCTAGAAAACTGGTGAGTTTTGTTTTGAGGTTTTTGGGGTTTTTTTTTCCTTTGGAGGGGTGCAGGGGGTGCCCGTGCGCCTGTGATTGCGCTAATATTGCATCCTGGGTGGTCGCCCACATTGCCCGCAGCAAATAGCGGCTCAGTGTGCATTGTGTAGTATGCAGAACCCAGGTAAAAGCCCAGTGTAGGGATCCGAATCGGAAGACAAGCGTTTTAAAATTTTAACTAATTTGATAGCAGATAGTCAGCTACAGTAACAACATATTGAAACTTGGGGAATGGGGGGCAATTTTAACTGATTTACACTGAAATTAAAGGGATCAAACGTATTCATCTTTGTTGCTGCGTGACTCTGTAACATTTGCATAACTGTTGTTGCTCAGTATCGCTGCCCGACTGCTGTTTGATGTTTGCAAAATCTGTGCACACCTTTCCATTAACCTTTTAAAAACAACACCACACAACATAACACAATGACTTTGCCAATTTTGCAGTGCCATTGCTTCTGCATTCGTCAGTGCATATCCATGACTCTGCATCATTTGTCTCACAGTTCCTGATCAGTATGACTGGACACTTTATAGTATGTCTTGTTGCACTTTTGTGTTGATGTCCTAATTGTGTATTTTGTTATACTGGCATATGTGCTGATGTACAGCTTTAAGCACTACTTGTGAAATACAAGCAATTTGATGGGTAGCTAGCACAGCTGTTTAGCCAGTTATCTCAGGACATTATTATCATAGGACATTTTTGAAGAATAGAAATCGCCATAAACCAAGACTCGATCATATTTTCAGTACTGTTAAAAAAGATTCTCATTCTGCCCAATAAAACCTTTAAGCTCTGACTGTAAAGCAGTCGCAAAAATATTAGCCGTCTACACAGTAGAATTCAAGCAATCATCGATCTGGGCCAAGTGGACTTCATGTCTCAAACGTCAGCCCTCGAGAGACGCTGTCCTGGATGTTTTAGATGTTTCCGTCTTCCAAAACACCTTGTTCAAATGATCAACTCATCAGCAAGTTCTGTTGGAGCTTCTGAGCAATATCATATCAATTGTACCATGAAGAGCTCGTGTTTTTTCTAACTCGCCGACAGAGGTTTACAAACTGAATCTGAAGCGGAAAAGTAATTGAAGCTGGTCTATCATGACAGCAAATAAGAAATGATCACAAAATGTGCCTTCAGGACATAAAAGAGGCCTGTCGAGCCCATTTTGGGAGGCATTGAAGCACCCCTACAATCAAGCCGAGCACGGCCAAAATGTCAGCGTTCTTAAGATTTTATTTACTTGATGTCTTTTTTTTTTTTTTAACAAGCTGGAAAAATGTACTTGTTAGAAACATAACCCCACACTTCAAAATGGAAAATGGTTTGATCCACCCAATCTCTCTCATCTCTTCTCACAGAGGTGAGTTGCGTGTGCGCAGTCTTTGCTTCACACCTAACCCGGGTGTTGCAATGTCTACAATTTTCATAGATTTTTGCGTATTTTCATCTTTAAATCAAAGACAAAGCATAGAAATTGTGTGATATGAAATATTCCAAAAAAAAAAAAATATATATA